ATGATGTTAATCATTCTCCAACAGTTGTTAGCCAAAGATTCATTTGATGAATCTGATTTAGGTATACATTTCTGTTACATTAGGACTAGAGACAAGTTTTATTTAGAAATAACTCCAAGAACAGTTTTTATATTTTATTTTCACATTGAAAACCAGTCAGATTTGCTTCAGCCTCAAAGAGCGTGTTTATGTAAAATTAAATTAACACTGGCAGCAAGCTGCACTTTTTTTCTAAACAGAAAATAGGTTAAAAGTGGAATTTGCATTCCCAACCAGTACAAGAATTATCTGTTGACTGACATATACATACAGGTGCTCCCTATCCTTCCAGAATCCTCAATCTTTTTAGGGTAATAATAAGATTTATATAGACATGACACAATTAGAAGGGGTTTTAGGGACACAGGAAACTGCTGAGTTAATGCTAAAATATGCAGCATACAAAAGAAGTGCCAAGAGTGGTCAGATGGTGGAGAGATTGATCTTTCTTTACGTGTATGTATTTCTTGACACAGTCCTTGAAGGATTTTTAAAGTAGGCAAAGAGGGAGGAGATCTTTAAGATAGAAATTCAGTATATCACAGAGTTTGAAGCTAAAAAAGAATATTGGGGGTATGTACAGGTATTTGTGCTGGGAATGGGAAGTGGGGAATGGTGAATGTATATTAGTTATATGAAACACTTAGCACAATGCATGTCACATATTAAATCATTGGCATTGCCCTTACTATTATGATTACTACTATTATTATTTATAGTTTAAAAGTCTATTTTTGTACTCTTTAGATCTTCTTTCTAAAAGAAGGAAAAAAAGACTCTCCTATCATTTATTTACTTTTTTATTTTAAAGTTAAATTGATAATTAATTTTTATTCATTATTTACTGGAGAGTGGAAGTTACATGCTAGAAAGTGATGGGAAGCCAGACTGGCCAGGCCCAGTGTACGATTTAGAGGACATTCAAACTTGATCTAAAAGTGGTAATTTTCAATCGTGGTTGCACATTAGAATCAGCTGAGGGAGTTTTAAAAACCTTGCTGTCCAGAGGCTGCACCCCAGACCTATCAAATCTCAATCTTTGGAGGTGGGAGCCAGACATCAGTAGTTTTAAAAGCTCTCCAGGCAATTCCGATGCAGCCAAGGTTGAGAACCTTTGAGAGTTGAAGACTCGTTACATGTTCAGGGGAATGGCGTGTGTGACAAAACAAAAGGGCAGCCACAGTAAGGTTGATCTGTGTTATTTTATCTTGTCTTATCAAGGACCTCTTAAGATTTGCTTTATGACTCCCATTTTACAGCTAAGGAAACTGAGTCTCGGCGAGGCTGAGCCTCATCGGTCACAGAACTGAAAGGCCAGCCAGGGTTTGAATGCAGTCCATCAAGCCATGCTCTTCCACCTTTGCTCTGTGCTGTCTACCAGTGGAGGGACTTATAGAATCGCGTGTGGGGTGTAGGTGACTGGGAAGAAACCAGAATCAAGAAAGCCCCTTAGGAAGTAAGTGTAGTAATCTAAGTGGGATCTAAGAATGTTAGGATTAAACAATTGCCTGGATCACCTGTGAGCCAAAGCCACCAGCTGAGCAAAGCCACCTTCCTATCATCTGAGCCAGAGAACCAAGGCCAGTGTCTGTCCCTTTCCCTGAGAAAGCTGCATTCTCAACAGCTTTGGAAGCTAAAATACAGCAACAGTGGCAGTTTCAGAAGCAGCAACCCTTCACTGGATCTGTTTTTTCCCTCTTCAAGAATGCCTGGCTCTCAGCAAGCAAAAGGCATAAAGCTCATCAAATGTATTCTCCCTCAGGTCCTTTCAGGAGATCTATAATCTAAGGTTTTATAGATAGTGGATGTAAAAACATGGTTTAAAGATATAATCTTCAGCTTGACAAGGTGTCTTTTGAAAAGTAAATTAATGACAGAATGAAAAGCAATAAGGTGATGCTTTTTCTTTTTTTTTTTCTTTGAGATGGAGGAAGATCTAAAGAGTTCAGTACTCGATGAATCTCTTCTGAATGATATGCCTTTAGGGTAAAGAAAATGGACGGAGAGAAAGGGAAGGCTTCAAAAATCACATTGCACAAATGAGAGATGGCAGAGTGAAGCTACTGGGAGCCATGAGAGGAAGGGGGCTGTGATACAGATTAGCATTAAACAATTAGCATCGTTTCCATAAGAACAATGGAGGCCACTACCCCTCCTCTTGGGAAATGGGTGAAGCACTCTGGCGAACCTTTGTGCCAGGCCCCGTGCTGGGTGCTGGAGGTACAGAAATGGATCAGACATGGTCCTAGCCTTGGAAGAATGCTTGGTCTGGGGGTGGCCTGTGAATGATGACAGTAGGTCATCTACCAATAGGAAGCCCAGGGGCTGTGGGAGCAGGAAAGGCAGGCTGGAGAAGAAGATGGTCAGTGGAGATGAGAAAATGAGCAGGAGCTAGACAAGCAAAGAAAAGTGAAAGAGAGGCAGGATATTACAGAGGAAACATGTACAAAGTCACAGAGGTGGGAAACCATGAGGTGGGTTGGCGGGCAGTACCTGCTCTCTTCTGGGTACAGGACCTGGCCATTCTCAGGCTGGGGACAGCTGAGTTTGGACCTTAGGTTCAGTCATTGGGTCTCTCCTGAGGGCAGCTGGTGCTTGATCCTGGGGAGATTTTCACAGATGGCCATTTTTCAGTCATTCCCCTGATGACCTCAGGTGCTTCGGGGGTTCAACACCCCACAGCCATTGTTATGAAGTTCAAGCATTTTCAACTGAATTCATAAGGTTCTCTCTGATTTGACACAATGTACTATTCCATGTTAACCTCCCATTTCAGACTCTATGAACCAATTGTACTAAAATCTGTGGTCCCTTACATGATATACAAAGGCCTCCAATGACTAGTCCTTGGCTCTGTGACTTCACGTGCTTCCATTCACTCTTCCCTCAGTCATGCTGCTCCAGGCACTCAAGCCTTTGTGCTGTCCATCACACATGCCAAGCTCTCTCATGCCTCAGGACCTTTGCATGTGTGCCCCTCTGCCTAAAACGTTCATTCTCTAAATGAGCTCATCCAAGACTCACTCCTTTGTTTCATTCAAGTCTCTGCTCAAATATTACCCCTCCAAAAACTTTACCCTCATTTATTTGTCTTGTATGGTACTTACCACTACCTGAGATTATAGATTTGTTTATTCTTCCTCTTCCCTTTGGTATACTTCCACCATTAATATGCAAGCTTTTTCATGGCTAGATCCCCAGTACTTAGAATTGTATTTGAACTTAATAGAGATTCAATAAGTATTTGCCAAATAAATGAACTATGTACAATTTGCGCATACTACCCCAAAGCATCCCTGCCTGCTAGCACCCATCTTCTCCTGTCTCTTCACCAGTGCTTTTGAGGGTATAGGTTAGGTGTCCACTTTCCCAGAAAGCCAACCCCAACCCCTTCTATTCTTTCACACTTCGTCAGGTGCTACTCCCATATATGGCTCTGTATTCCAGCATTTTACATACTCCATCAGTGTAGGCTGCTTGTTTGTCTTCCTACCCACTGACTTCTTGCAGGGTAGATGG